GTAAAGGCTGAGGAACAGACACCATTCCCCGATAATTCAGGTCAGGCCCATCGGAGAGAGACTTTGGAGTCTCCCACAGACTGTCCTTCCTGACTCACTGTTATTAGCAGAGAATCCTTAGGCCCACACTTGATGTGAGAGCAGGCAAGATTTCTCCAGTGTTGGCTTTTTAAGGGGAATAAGGTCCGCACAGCACCTGCATCTCTCTGATCCTCCTTAAACTATCTTGAAGGATGGATCTTGAATTTGTCTGCAATATCTGTGCAGGCCAGCATTACTAAACTCCACACAAGAACAACAGATCATTTGGGGGTAAACAAAAGTATTGGGTACTGCAAAGCCTGATGCAGTGGAGACGTAGCCTGATGCATAGGATACCTGTGCTCACCAACAGGTCAAAGACAAGGTTTCATGTCATTGTGGAGAAAATTTGATTATTTCACTTGAAGCCATAGAGACCTACTTCTGATATTCAGCAGGGAAGCACATTTCCCAGAGATAGTCTGGAATTAGCAGGTTGCAGAAAGGTGACCTAATTCTTGGAGCTGGTCAGTAAATCTAGATCTGGATAGAATGGACCCAGTGACCAACAGGAAACTCTCAGACTTTATGTCTTTGGTCCAAGTGAAGATTCTGAGCTGCACATGGGTAGCATTAACCTCCTTCTTCCCCATTCATCATCTCCCTGGGGGGAAAACTGAATCACAGGAACTGTTTTACACAATTGTTGACATGACCGTAGAGAGAAGTTTGTTTGTTTGTTTGTTTGTTTTTCTGGTACCGGGAATCTAACTCATGACCTTGCTCTTGCCAGCCAGGTGCTGTGCCGCTGAGCTAAATCCCCAGCCCAAGAGAAGGTTTTAACGATGCGTCAGAGAAAAGGAGAAGATATTTTCACACCTATGAGCATTAGAAAAACAGATAACGATCAAAAAGATGATAGGAACTCATCTTTTAAATTAGGTGCAGTCCCAGGCAGTTCAGCTGTGACAACCCAGAGCAGGGAGAACAAAAGGCAGATTTTAGTCTCACTTCTCTCTCCACGTTAAGCACTGTGTAAGTCCCAGTGTTGCCATGATAGGTCAGGCAGTAATAGCTGGCCTCATCCTCAGGCTGAAGTCCAGAGATGAGCAAAACTCCTGCATTGGCTGAGCTGTCTTTGGATCCAGAGTAGCGACTGGGAACCCCAGATCCCTGGTCTTTATCTGAGTCTGAGTAGTATCTTAGTAGAAATCGGGGATGGTTCCCTGACACTTGCTGGTACCAGGAAATGTGGTAGCCAGAAACTACAGAACCACTGCTCAAGGTGCAGGTGAGTCTGGCATTTGCTCCAGAAGATGCAGAGAGGGAGGGTGGTTGAGTCAGCACAGGCTGGGAGAAGGACCCTGTGAACAGACATATTCATGAGCGAGTGAATAATCAAGGACAAAGTTCAGCTTCTTCAAGATCCTGGCAAAAGATACTGATTTATGCTGGCTGTCTGGCCCTTGGTATATTGATATATGGAACCAGTACCTACCCGTGCTGTAAAAAAGGAGCATGAGGAGAAGAGGGGTCCAATCCATGGTGGGTATACGACTAGGAGCCCTACAGTGAGAATGGGCTGTCCCAGACCTTTTCTTTCCCATCCTGTGAAAAGGAGGGGCTTTTCATGCAAATACATTTTCATCATAACTATCCAAACCCCTCCCTGAGCCTTGATACTGGAACTTAGATCACAATGTAGACTGAGGAGGTTGAAAATTTGCTTTCCCTTTGGGGGAAGCCCTGGGAAGAAGCACTTGTCTGATGAGAGAAGATAAATATCTCTGCTCAGGGGACTTCACAGGTTAGAGAGATATACCTGCTGAGTTTCCATTAGTCAACATAGGATCCAGGGGAAGGTCAGGGCTCTTTCAATGAATGGTCCTTCTTGAGCAGCTATGTAGGAAGTAAAGGCAATCTCCACAATGCCCCCTTCTGGTCACGTGACACAGCTTTCTCCGGGGTACAGAGATCTGACATACTAGCTAATAATTAAATAGGGAAACTTACATGTCTGTTTAATAAAAAATAAATGCCTGTTTTCACAACCACAAAAATACACACACACACACACACACACACACACACACATGGGTTATTGTTAGTAATTACTAAGTTTACTTTGCAAGTTTCAAAACACAATATAACATATGATGCACTGAGGTTTTGACACGGGGTGCAGGAGGCTGAGTTAGCAACTGCACCACTCCCTCCCCTCCGCTATACTCCATTGTTCCCTAAGCAGTTCATACCAGAACACTGCATAATGGAGTTATGAAAACAATCACAGAATAAAGTTTATGGTATTTGGGGGCTGTGTTATAGCTGTCCAGGGCTTTCTGACCTAGACTACAGGTTGGACATGGGTGGACTACAAGTCAGACTGTAGGTGGGCCATAGCTTGGGCATGGGTGACTTACAGCACACTTTCTAGCATGGTGATAGAATTCTAAAACGTCTTAAAACAGAAATTAAGCTATCTTCACAGGGTGGACACTCAAAACAAATGATGCGCCACAATGTGGTTTATAATCAGGCCTATTGTTCACCTAAAACGGAGAATATGGTAGCACTTCATGTAGTAGCCGGCAGGGAGCAACAAGATATCTTGTAGTAGCCACATGTAGTGGTGCATATCTGTAATTCCACCACTCAAGAGGCTGAGGCAGGAGGATTGCTAGGAATTAGAGACCACCCCGGAGCACATAGTGAGTTCCAGGCCAGCCTGAACTGCACAGTAAGACCCTGTCTCAAAAACCAAATCAAAATAAACATGATTATATTTCAATAATTACTATGGACATACCATCCATAGGAGTCTGACCTAGCACCCTGGTTCCCAGGGAGCTCTCTGCAGTAATAAGAATTCATTTGGATTTCTTCATCTTAATTAATTTTGAAAATCAATGTTTTCAGTGTGAAGACTCCAGAAACTGAGAGACATAGGACAGCCTTGCTAGGGCAATAGCGAAGAGTTTTTGTCAAATATTCCTTTTATTCAGGGTCATTTTGCTTTTCCCAAATGACACACTAATACTATGAGACAACCACTGATGTAGTAGGATTTGTTTTCAGCCTGGATTGCAGAGATGGATAAGTAGCTGTCTGCTTCCACAGTTAGTGTACAAAAAGTATTCTTAGCCAGGGTTTCTATCACTTTTACATACATACATAATGTCCTGCAGTGCCTTCTCTGGCTGCTGCTGCTACCTTGAAGTGTAGTAGGTTCTGTGCTCACTACAGAGAATGCAGATGAGCTTGGCTGAGGATCCCAGGAGGTAGATGTAGAGGGTAACTGAGTAGCACAGACTGGGATGGGCCCTTTTAAAACAAAGAACTCCATGATGTGTTGGGAAAAGGACCAGGGGGAAGAAAATTCTTGGCACATATTTAGCAGGCAGTATCTGTGAGCTGGGGATGAGAGTACTGAGGACCACCCTGACATTCACATTGACAGAGGATGAGGAGGAGGAAGAAGAGTGAGTTTCAGGTCATTGTGTAGACATCCCAGAGCTCCACTGAGACAAACAAGCTGTATCAATATCTCTTATCCCTAGTCTCAAAGGAGAGAGAAGATCCATCAAGAAAATGTGCTCTTCTCCTGGCCAACCAATTTCATCAATTGGCTTTCACCGATGCCGTATCTGGGTATCACTTTGGGGAGAGATGGACCTGGGAAGGATCTGCCTTGTAGTTCTACCAGATCTCAGTTAGACTCCAGCTTCTGGGTCTTGAACCCTGAACAAGAGCCATAATGCACTTCTCTGATTTCCCAGATGAGATCCCACAGACCACTCAGTCACAGGCCCACAGTGAAATTACTGTCCAGGCCTAAGTTCATCATATCCATGAGCAAATGACAGGTGATCTTGACACAGGTTCATGCCCCTGCCAGAGCCTTGAACACTGCCTGCTTCCTGCACAAAGACAGTGAGACTTCTCTACACAGGAAACTTCCTACCTTATAGATCAGTCTTTTGTTTTCTATTTTGTTTCTCTCAGACAGATCAAGGTGCACAGTTCACTTTATAAGGAATCTTAAAATCTCAACATGAATTGAAAAGTAAATTACCTGAGAATAGGAAATTTTTCTCTGAACCCATTTGTCAGGGTGTTCAACATAACAAATTTTTCTTTCTATATTGATCCTTCCTGAGATCATCCCATAGGGACATATTGGTGGAACACCACCACCCCAGTAATTCATATATGTCCTCCACCTTGGGAGTCAAATAAGTGCAGACCTCAATTGAAACCCTTCCCTCACCTTTTTATGGATGATCAGTATGAGGTTTCCTGAGAGCTGGGTGTCTGGTAATGGAACCCTCATATCATAGGATCATGTTTGCATCCAGGCTCAGTCATATGTCCTAGTCCCCTCTCTTGACCTCTCACTTTGCTGAGTATCTCTGTAATGTATCATGGGTTAGTACTCAGTCTTGTCATCAAGCTGGGCCTCTAAAAGGGACAAGGTACCTTTGGTCAGTGTCAGAGTTTTTGCAATAAATCCACTTCCCATGGACATGGTCAATAAGGGCTTCTGAGTCACCACAACCTGAGAATTGAATGTTGATAAAATATCAGACACATGTTACGAGTGAGGAAAGAAAAGAGAGGGTCAGTCTGATGGATAGAATTTGAAATCTCTATTACCTGAACAGTGAATGGGGAAAAAAAGGGGGTATCAAGACCATGGTGTGGATATTGGAAGAATCTTTTGAACCCAGAGCTAGTGCTTTATTTTAGGATGAACTTTTGTTTTCTCCTGAGCTCCCTGCTTGATGGGGGAGAGTTGGTGTGGTGCTTTCCACAAATGTAGGTCTTTCACTTTCCCCTCCCACCACCTGATCCTCACGCCTGATATTACATATACTCTCTGAGGTGCACCTGTTGTTGCTACATACTGTGGACTTTCCCTGTGACGGCAAGCAGCTGCTCTCTACATGGACTACTGAGCAACTGTATAGGGTCTAAAAAGGAATCCTGAAGCAGTTAAGCTTCTTTGCAAAGATCCACAGCACCACCTTGAGGCCTATTCATCTAAATGTGTAAGAGCTCATCTCATTTATTTAAGAAATGTTTATTGATATTTATGACATTGCCACTGTATTTCCCACACTTGCATTGCTTGTCTTTTCTTTGCTCATTTCTAATTGAATGGATTTCTCTGTTTTGTGTTCAAATACTGCCCTAGGTGTCTGTACTTCAATTTTAGTGTTCTTAAAATTACCTGGGTGTTTTGAATGAACAATAGGAACTGGTTTTCAAGACCAACTGGTAAAGTTATTAAGTTGAGCCTCACATTAAACGTGAAGCTGGTTTATGTGAGAATTATTTTATTACTCAGTGGATTTGAAGAAACAAAATAGACTGAAGATCAAACTTCTTATTGTCAGTTGAGTTGAAACTAAAGTCAACCATGCAGCTGCTCCACCCACTCTACATGACCAAACTGCTCAAAACATCCTGGACAGCAAGCTTGAATGAGCTCTTTAGGTTGAAAATACTTTACAGACAATATCCCACATTATTGCCAGGACAAATTACCATTGTATGAAACTCCACTAGGATAGAACAAAATTTCAAAATGAGTTTGACCTCTCAAATGAATTTGGAAAAATTTCCTCTTCTTAAATGTGTAAAGACTTGTTTTATGACTTAGCATATGATCTATGCAGGAAAATAACCCATGTCCAATTGAGAAGAATGTTCCTAGGCTCATGTGAGTAAGGTGGGTGACAGTCTGAGAAGAGGGTCACATCGGTGCTGGTGCTGTTTGTCCACACAATGAAGCAGGATGAGTAGTTTCCCACCAGTCAGACCTGCATCCACCCTCCTCTCAATCAATCCTGCAGAACCACCTGCTGTGAAGCCAGAAGAACCATTACATTGAATTGTTCTCCTGCTGGAGAATATATTTCGGCAATATGTACCAAGGTTGGAGATGCATAATCTTTGCAATTCTACTTTGTGTCAGGCCACATGATCTATGTGATGCTGGGTGACAATCTCAAATTTGAAATATAAAACCATACAGGCTAAATTCTTATTCACATAGCTTGCTCACTATGTCCGATGGGTGATGATTCTTCCCATGGTCATCTTTATTCCCCTGTTAAAGTCAATAGAGAATCACTTCTTGAAATAATGCTGAGGAAGCTGGCAGAAAGACAGGAGAGAGGATCATGGAAGAACCTGGCCTTGGTCCAATTGACCATAAATAACAAGGATTTGCCTAATTCTCTTTCATTTAACAATGCAAGACAGTGGAGCCAAGACACATTTCATGGAGGTGGAAGTTAATATCTGCCACTGAAAAGGATCTAGATATGGAAAACAATGACATAATCTTAGTGCAGAAGACTGTGACACTCTGGGATACTTTCAAGACTGTTTACAAAGGCAACATTTGAAACCACTAATAATAAGAAACAATACTATTTTCTATAGAGTAGTTTTTGGAAAATTTTGCTATTCAATTTGCCTTTTGAAATCACAGAATCACACTCAGGTGAATGTCATACTCAACAGGAGATAATCTTTGTCCAGAGTCTTTCTCCAGGAGTTGACATCAGGCACTGGGGGAAAATATAAGCACATAAGCATGCCCCACAGCTAGAGGCCAAGCAGAGTGGGCTCTCTATGTAGCCCATTCTCTTTTGATTTTGGCCACATGCTGCTTAGATCCCTTCTTCTTGTAAATTGATCAAGCATCAGTCTGCTAGGTCCCCAGCCTCTAAGGGACCAAGTTGTCTTCTGATTATTCCTTGAATTTCTTTAGTAAGTTTTAAAGTGTAGATAAGCTACTGCCCAGTGTACCATGCGGTAGCAGACAAGAAAAGCTTCAAATGCAATCTTAGATTCAATCTGTAAAGCTAAACCCTCCCCGCTTATCCTTCATGGAACCCCATTCTGTTGTTCCAGCTGATGTCAGAACACAGAACTACCACCCTTCTCACTAACATTGTTCTTATTCTCATCTGGGCTCTTGGAGCACTGCTAGAAGCAGATGGGTCAAAGAGAAAACCAAAGGATCAGAAAAAGGAGTGCAGGAGTGCCAGGTATTCTTACTAACCCATAGTTCTCATCTTGCCTCTCACTGAAAACCATTTTTCCAATTCAAGAAAGGTGCAGAACTACTTAAAGATGAGTAAATAATAATATTAAATTAACCAGGGCTCGAGATTGAATATCATTTGGAGATATAGGGTCATCTGGATGATTAGATATTTTAGGGCCACAAGAAAATATACCAATTTCTTTTAGAATCAGAAATAAATGAATGTAATTTAAAATGGATTATGTTTTTCTCCAACTTAATGTAATTTAAAATGCATTATATTTTTCCCTAACAATGTAGTTGGTTCTTACACTGTGTATCATAGCGACCAGCTACACATGCACATCACAGTGACCAGCTGTTTCTAAGAAACAAAAGTAACAGGAACTGTAATGGGAACTATTACCTGGGCATCCAACAAGCTGAAGTGTACTGCCTTGGGGTAGGAGGGGGTGGCGCATCTTCTGCTCCAGTTCCATTGGTTATCTGTTCCATTGCTCCCTTCTCAGTACCTGCACTGAGGTACTGCAGCCTGGAACCCAAGGTTTTACGGGAGACAATATAAGTTCTTTCTGATGAATAGCCACTGTGCAGACTGCACGTAGATCCCCTCCACTACAAGCCTGTGAGAACTTTGAAACTTCCCAGTAGCAAAGATTTCTGGCATGCATACTGGTGGCGGGGTTTTCTGGAACTCTTCCATTCATCCTTCCCCTCTGGAAAAGAGTCTTCTCCCAACTAGAAAGCCTCGGTCACAGTCTGCATTGTATTTTGTTTCTTTTCCTATGCTGCCATCGAAAGTCTGTATGTTTTACAAGGCTGTAATCTCTTTCTCGCAAAGGTTCAGCATTCTCTCCCGGTCACTCCCTGAAAATGCAGCGATCCACCTTTTTCTTTTTTCTTCTTTGTAGAGAAGATGAGCGCTGAGCATCCCAAGCCTATTTGGCCTTCCAGGAATCCTTGAGTTTTACTGTTACTTCATTCTCATCACCCAGCATTGGTCTTTTAAGATTTTGTATTTCTACTTGAATTCAATCCTGGTAGTCTATACGGATTGAGAAATGTATCCATTTATCTTAGGTTTTTCAATTTGGTCACATATAATATATAGTTTCTTATAATCCTTTGTATTTTGCTGATATCAACTGTAATGTCTCCTTTTACACATTTGAGTTTGCATTTATTTTAGTCTTCTTTCATCTTTGTAGTGTAGCTACAGGTTGTTAATATTGGTTATCAATATATAAACAATTTTTATTTCATGTGTCTTTTGTGTGTTGTTTCAATTTTGTTTTTTCATCTCTGATTTTTATTGCCCCTTTCCTTTTCCTCATTTTGAGTTACTTTTGTTTTTATTCTTCTAGTTCCTTGAGATACCTTATTAGACTAATTCTTTGAAATCTTTCTTTTAAATTTAAAATTGCTATACATTCCCAACATGTATTGCTTTTATTATTTTGGATCAGATATGCTGTATTTTCCACTTTCATTTTATTCAAAAAAATTATTAATCACTATGTTTTCATTAACATGTAATAATTATAAATATTTGTGAAGCACCATAAGATATTTTGACATGTGTGTATAATGTACAGTGATAAATCAAAGTAATTGGCATTTGTATCTACTTAAACATTTGTTGTTACTTTATGTTCAGAATCTTAATTCCTCTCTTCTGGCTTATTATAAAATACGTAAAACATACTCACTTTCCTCTACTGTCAAACACTAGAAGTTTTTCCTTCTACCTAAGCATATTTTACCATTTGCTATCCCATCACCCATTATTCTCACTCTTCTCCACATTCTCTTGCCTCTATTTTAACCTATACATCTATAATACCAAAATTTTGTTTATATATATGAGTAAAAATATATAGTACTTGTCTTTCTATGCCTGGCTTATTTCACTCAACATAATGTCTTCTCTTCCATCCATTTTGCTGCAAATCACAGAATTTCATTCATTTTTGGCTGAAAATTAAGTGGAAATATAAAATCTGAAAACCAATGTTGAGTGATGTGAATGAAGTAGCAATAAAACTCTCAAGAATTCCCGGATGGCCAAATACAGTGTATTTAAGATACAATAGTGCAACTCTTGAAAACGTAGGCATAGACAATAGCACAAGAAATCATACCAAAAATCAACAAATGGGATCATATCAAGTTTAAAAATCTTCTGAACAACAAAGAAAACAACCAAGAGAGTGAAGATATTATTTAAAGATTGGGAAAAAGGTTTTTGTCAGCTATCCTTTGGACAAAGAGCTAACATCAAAAATTTATGAAGAACTCAAAAAATTTATGACCCTGTCAAAGTAAAAGATCCAATAAAAAAACTGGGGAACTGAAATGAATAGACACTTCACAGGAGAAGTAGAAATGGCTAATAAATAAATACATGGGAAAATGTGCATTATTTCAGACCATCAACAAAATGCAAATTAAAACTACAATATTACTCCAAAAAGAATGGCTATCATCAATAATTCAAAAAATAGCAAATGCTGGGGAGGATGTAGGGGGAAAGGAACTCTCTTACAGTGTTGGTGGGAATGATAATTGGTACAACATCTATGGAAATCAATATGGGAAATCCTCAAAATATTAAAAATAAGAATTCCATTTGACTCAGTTATCACCCTTCTAGGTATCTTCCCACAAGAGTTATTACAGGGATACATGTCTACAACAGCACAATTCATAATAGCTAGATCTTAGCCATAGCTGATATGTCCACCAACAAGTGAATAGATTGTATATGAGACAGAGACTATATAGAAACTTACTAATGTGAAAATGCTAGTGGCGGTGAGCTGGACAGTAATTCAACAGAGTGTCTCATGGTGGCAGAATGGATAGTTCAGTTATTTTCTCCACTCATCCTCTCTTCTGTACCTACTTGCCACAAGAGAAACATTTAATAAATTAAACTACATAAGCATTAGCTTGTATAATCTGATTGCATGATCAGCAGTCCAAGGA